CTATTCACTTTAATGGCCAACACTTTTCACTTTATGGATCCTCCATCCATCCATCTTCTTCCCCCTATTCCATTTCTGGGTCGGGGGGGTGGCAGTCAGAGTTGCACCCAGTCACAGAGCACCAGCCCCTCACTGATCCTCCTGCAGGTGCTGAGTCCACAGGAGCTGAGATCTTTCAGTGGGGGCTTCAGGCAAAGTGGGGTTAAGTGTCTTGCCCAAGGACACAACGACAGCAGTCATCAGTGGGAGTTGTGAAGTAGGTCTTGTGGTGGGCTTGAACCCACAACCTTCAGGCTCAAAGGCCAATGCTCTACCAACTGAGCCACTTTCGCCCTACTTTATGGATCCTATTCACTTTATGGATCCTATTCACTTTAATGGCCAACACTTTTCACTTTATGGATCCTATTCACTTTAATGGCCAACACTTTTCACTTTATGGATCCTCACTTATTTGAACACAATTTAGAGAGTTCGACAGACCTCAAAAACAGACCAAAATTTAGCTAGTATCCAATTATGCAGACTTTACATATAAAAAGGTGTCTGCTTACCTTATTCTTGTCAAACAGGATCCAAGGACTGTCCGAGAGGTCTGCCAACCTCTTTTCCGCGTCGGAATATTCAATTTAAAAAACAAAAGTGACAGAAGCGACAAGAAGCATCCAGGAACAGCTCTTCCAGCCTGCTGGAATCTCCGCTCCCAGACACAGCATGCCGATCTCTCACGCCGAGGAAAAGAAACATAGCAAACTCCCTCAAAACAATCCAGAGAATGGCACACACCGAGCCGCGCATTCTCCACCAAATCTGTTAGGATTTAAGCAGACAGAGACGGATCGTGGTGTGCCAAACTCTGGAGAAACTCTCTTAAGTTTCTCTCAAGTTCCACTGGTTTACTCTGTTTCTTTCTCTCAGACAGAATAAAGGCAGTACACAGTTTATATAGTCATTGTCACGTCACACATCGAAAGACATACGTGTCACAAAGAGACAGTCACATCATAGTCATAACATGGAGTCCTTGTACAGTCCTTGTACAGTCCTGCACGTAGGCCATATTGCTATCTAATACTAACACCGTGTTATCTTCTGGCCCAAACAACCACCTCTCTGTCCGGGTGTGCAAACTTTCAAACGCCGCCGTATCCATGACGACCGCATCAGAAACATAATCCCCCGACACCGGAGCGTTTCGACAGTGTGAGTTTATTGGCAGTCGCTGTCTCTACATCTGAAAAGTGCTTAACAACCTTTGAAAATCACACATCAAATCTTCATACAGTGTAAACAGGTAGAAAAGATGAAAGTGCTCACCCCCCCTCACCCCCCCTCACCCCGCAGCCCCCCGCTCACCCCGCGGCCCCCCCTCGTGTCAGACTCGGCGGCGCATGCTTTGATGGCAGAGGGCGAGCATGCACGTGAGGGACAGAGGAATGTTATTAATGAGTAAGAATATACTGCTTTGTGTTGTACTGGAGGGGGGGGGGGGGGGGGGCGTATGTACACGAGCGAGGAAGGGAGGGGCCCTGTTCACATCTGGCATTCAAATGACACTGTGCAGGCGTTGGAACTGAAGGCGGTTCCCAAGCAGAGGTCCCCGTACAGAGACTCCAACACATCGTTTAACACGTGAGGTGTGTTGTGCAAAAATCTGACATTATTACTGTGTGGGCCAATGACAGTGAAGGGGCGGGGCCAATGACAGTGAAGGGGCGGAACCAATGGCAGTGAAGGGGCGGGGCCAATGACAGTGAAGGGGCGGGGCCAATGACAGTGAAGGGGCGGAGCCAATGACAGTGAAGGGGCGGAGCCAATTACAGTGAAGGGGCGGAGCCAATTCCAAGGATTGTCAACAGATTTTCACTGAACCGCAACGGAAAGTCACCAAATTGTATCTTTTTTGCGATTCCAGCCTATTTCAGCCTTGGATTTAGAACGTGTGACTTGTTTTGAGCATGGCCACGCCCACAAACAAACTGGAAGTCAGCCATTTTGTAAATGTCTCAATAAAGTTTGATATTATCTTATCTTGGATTTTTTTTTTCAGGTCATGTAAAAGTTTAACAAAAAACAAAAAAATATCTGAAGCTTTTTAATTGTTTGGTTGTGTTTTTAGGCAAGACACTTCCCCCAGAATCTTGCCTCCACAGTTTGGCACTTTACAGCCGCAGCCGCCCCACTGTGGCACCTGCTGTTCCCAGAGGTCTCCCATCACAGTACTACCCAGTCCCTGTCCTGCTTAGCTTCAGATATGGCCACTCCAGTTGTACTTTGTGGATTGTTGTCAGAAACATGAAGCGCCAGATGTGATCAGTTTCCACGGTTACAGATGTGATCAGTTTCCACGGTTACAGATGTGATCAGTTTCCACGGTTACAGAGGGTCAGACACAGCTGTACACTCGGGTCTTCGGTGCGATCGCGGGGCTTCTGTTTGATTGTCTCTATCTCAGCCGAAGACGTCACACTGAAGTTCTTTCCAAAAGGTTTGAAAAAGGCATTTAGGACTCGACAATAGAAAACACATGCTTAGAACATACTAATAAACATATTTACAGAGTTCACATGTTCAGTCACTTCTTTGGGATGCTCCATGTTTACATTTCACATATGGAGATGTTACTGAGCAATGTTCATGGTTCAGTAAATGTTTTTAACATTGGAGCCATTATTGGAGCAGGTGTTTAGTGTAGTTATGTGATTATACGTCATAAATACATAAAGTCTGTAATATTTTTCACAGTAAAATATTTGTTTCTCAAAGTCTCATTATTCTTTCACTTTGTACACGGTAATGATGAACTACTGTAGCCACAGCTGCCCTGGAGCACACTGACAGAGGCCCCTCCCACACACACACCAGACTCATTCTAATGTGGGGGAAGTGTCTTGCCCAAGGACACAACCACAGTTTGGCACTTTACAGCCACCCACAAAGAACTCAATAAAGTTTAAGAGAATACTTGAGTCTGAGATAAAAGCCAATGTTTATAACGGGCCTGTTCTGTTTAACTATAAACATGTGAAGCATGTTTTAATTATAAACATGTTAAATATGATCACAAACAAACTCATTTATACTGTTCTTAAGATTATTATTTACCACAATAATAACTCCATGTGTTCTGTATATACATGTCAATAAATGTTTATTAACATGTTTACTACATGTTAATTAACATGTTTATTAACATGTTTAATAACACGTTTATTAACATGTTTAATAACACGTTTATTAACATGTTTATTAACATGTTTACTACATGTTTATTTACATGTTTATTAACATGTTTATTAACACATTTATTAACATGTTTATTAACATGTTTACTACATGTTTATTAACATGTTTATTAACATGTTTATTAACACATTTATTAACATGTTTATTAACATGTTTATTAACACGTTTATTAACATGTTTATTAACACATTTATTAACATGTTTATTAACACATTTATTAACATGTTTATTAACATATACGTCAGAAACCAGGGTTAGTGTTAAATGTTTTTATGATAGTAATAATATTTAATTTGTTGCCACAGTAACTGCTCCAAACTGACTTCTCACTAAGGTTTAATAACGTTATAATCCGTGTCTTTTCCCAAAGCTACAAAATAAAATAAATAAAATAAATGTAGCACCTTCTGTTTATTCAAGATTTTATGGTTTATACACGTCTCCTTCTAACACAATGTTTTTAAAATCACTTTTCTGTGCCTCATACTATATATATATATATACATATATATAAATATTATATTTACACATATATATATATATATATTTATATTTATATACATATATATATATATATATATATATATATATATATATATATTATATATATACATATATATATATACATACATATATATACATATATATATATACATACATATATATACATATATATATGTAAATATATATATATATAATGTACTTCTGTAACAGGTGTATCTTGGACTAAGGCAGGGTTAGCAGCAAAAGAGAATAAACGGACAAATGTTATAAAACATATAAAGCAGAGTCGACGTTAGAAAAACGGTCCAGAATAATTTAGTGTTTTATAAATATATAAATATAGTTTGACTACGACTCGAGCAAATCCTTCAAATGTTCTTCCAAAACACAACATGTTGAAGAGAAGAGGAGCTGTTACAGACAAACGTTGCCCGTCGGAGTCGGCGCCGTCGTATCTCAGCGTAAATACCACCAATGAGCATTTAGCGCTAACCAGCGGCTTCCTTCCATTATGAGGATGCTAATCACGGTGAGTCATGGCTCGTTATGGTCCTGTGAGTTTCTAGAAGCTCATTGTCAAAAACATATCGTCCTCTTTTTAGTAACAGCTCGTGGCAGAGTTCAAAGGTCAGCTTCGATCAGCGACGACCGTCGCACTGTGTTTTTGAAATGTTTTGACCAAAGTCTAACGAGGCGCCGCACGGTTCAGGAACAGCAGGAGCTTGGTTAGAATCAGAATTAGATCAAAGGAGTTTGGGGAGAGAGGAAACTGCTTTATCAAAGTTGAAATACAATGTTTTTATGACTTTTGAAGCTAAAGTCTCAACCAGGAACAGGAGCTTCTGCTGCTTCATCCAACCCCTTTTCCGGCCTGTACTTTCCACATCCTAGTTTTGTTTTTGTTTTTTTTACCCCAAATGACTGAGAGCAAACACTGCCATGGGACTGACAAATACATAGTTCTCTCTGTGATGTCATAGTAGTGCGCTGACTCGACCCAAAGTCCATCTGTGACACGTTAGGGCCAGAGTCAGGACCAAACAGAGTCATGCTAAAATCTGGAGCAGTCTTCCTGATAATGTGAGACAGGCTTCTTCTCCGACACTTTTGTTTAGCCGAAGGTTTTCACTCTTTATGTCTCTTTTCTAGTTGTGTTAAGCACTTTGCGTGGCCTTAAGTGCTATAATAATAAAGTGACCTTGCCTTAATAACGGCGAGTCACGTCCTGTAATAATAGGATCATAATTTAGTGCGGCGCCTGCAGTTGTAATTCTGCAAAAGGGGAAGAGAACAAACTGTGATTAAAGTTGGGCCCAGCAGCAATGACTTATGGGAGATTTAATTTTTTTCCTCCTGTGGGGACGCAACGCACCACTTTTGTTTTCCATTGTTTTGTTTTAAAACGATTAAGACGCGTGACCGTTAAACGCCGTATTCTTAAGCTAATTAGCGGCACGTCGGAGCGTTTTCTTCTTCTTTGTGCGATGCTAATTCGTCACTGTCCGTACGAGGAGCGGCGACTCGGACTTTGACAGTTTGTGCGAATGGGATGGAAGTTTCAGAATGACTAAAACTAAACTAATATGACCCAAGAAGACGGTTAAATTCTGGTAAATGTTGGAAAAACACGTTTTGCCGAGTGAGAAATTGCGCTAAAGTTGTATATCTAGAATCTTCCCGACCGAGCCTTGAAAGTGGAGAGGCCAAGTTCACTCAGACTTCTTTTATTTCCATGGAACAACATTTAGATCGTTTTTAGTTGTTTTTTGTCGTAAATGTTTGCGAACAGGTTCTTATGTCATTTAGCTTCATATATAGCTCACTCCACACTAAACTGTACCAAGGTCGATCTAACTTCAAACAATAAAATAAATGTATGAACTAAAAATGTTTGTACCTAAACATGTTTTTAATAGCCTGTATATATATATTGTATAATCTCAGAAGAGCAGCTAAAACTTTTATTTTTTTTAAATGGATGCCTTTCAAAAAAATAATTGTATTGAACTTTGGGTAATGGTTGGAGATATAACTATAATCAATCTGTAATTATAGATTTTACATTATGCAAAAATATTATTGAATAACTGCAACAAACGTTTGGACGTAACAACCGTGTCCACTTTTGTTACGTCCAAAACTTGTCTTGGGGCTGTTGATAATACGGTGTGAACAAATCTGTGTTTAAGTAGAGCGCCCTCTACTGGACAAACAGCTGGGGACAAAACAAGAGTCTGAACATTCAGCGCTAACGGCCGCGGACATTTTGGGACTTTTTTCATTGATCCAGTTTAGTTTGGAGTGAGCCGTATCTTCCCAGGACCGCTCTGACCTCCTCGTCCTCTCGTCCATATTTATGCTGTATTCTTCCCGTCCGCGAGCTACGATCAGACACAACGACAAGATTCACCTTTTGCTGCTAAACCCTGTGTCTGTGTTTTATTCATCAGTATCAAAAGTAAAGAATGAATAAATATTATGCATAACTGACATTTCCCACCATCTCGTTCTCGCTCGACAAACTGAAGCGTGTGTTTTGAGCTTTCTTTCCGTCTTTCTCTGAACAAATACTTTCCTGAAACAGCCCACGTGACGCTGCAGAGGTGTTCTGCTCTGTTATAAGTCCATTCATCATCTCCAGACCAAAAAGCGTCTACCAACACAGGTCAGCGATGCGCCTTTTCTACGCTGCAATGAATTATGGAGATCAAGAGAGAGAACAAAGCCCAAACTGTATAAATAATACATAACATTTGTCCGTTACTACTTTTCTGGTTCTGAAAAATAAGCTATACCTAATACCTCGGTCCAAAACGTCGCTATGAGGCGCTGTGCTTTTGTTTTCGTCCCAAAACAACATTAATAATGCATCGTATTTGTCCTTTTCTGCTTTTACGGTCATGAAAAATATGGTTTAAACGAAATACAACCGTCCGACTGCGATTGCGACGAACGCCAAAGCCTCGGCTCGTCCAAACGCCAAAGCCTCGGCTCGTCCAAACACCATCTTTCTCAGTTTTCTTTCCGACCCGCGGTCCCAGGCATCTCATCTGGTGCCGATGTTCTTGTACTGGCAGAGCAGCAGGTTTCGGAAAGTCTTCTTGAAGGTGGCGTTGCAGAGGGCGTAGCAGGCGGGGTTGATGGTGGAGTTGACGTAGCAGAGCCAGTAGCCGATGGCCCACACCGTGTCCGGGACGCAGGACTGGCAGAAGGTGGAGATCAGGACCATGACGTTGTAGGGAGTCCAGGTGATGATGAAGGTCAGCAGGATGGCGAAGATGGTCTTGGTCACCTGGAAGAGGAACGGAAGAATCATGAAGGAGCGCTGATGAGGCTCGGGAATATCGCTGAGTCGGGCGGAATTCAAAACAGCCTCAGGGCAGGACAGGATTATTCCCAAGTCACAGAGAGAAGGAGCTCAGCGGTTATAAAACAGAGTTAATTTAACACGTTTTTACTCAGGAATAATCTTAAGACAAGGCATTTTTTCCATCCCCTTTGATAATACAGTAGATTTCTCGGAGGCCATTACAAAACCGTTGATTTCTCCAACACAGATCAGAAAATCAAACAGTTTAAACACATGAATGATAGAGACTTTGGTCCATACGGAGCAGAGACCAATGTCCAGAAATGTTGTTGGGTGTTGGTTCTAGCTCTAGTTTTCTCATGTATTTATGTCACATCTTCAGATTTTCACATAAAAGTGAAAATGAGACGATCGCTCTCCCTCGGCCAATCAGCTCTCAGCCTGAAAACTACCAATCACTGACTCCCAGGACTCTTTCGTACAAGTGCGCCCAAGATCACACGTTTCATATCAATTATTAATGACAGAAAAGTATCAAGAAAACCTCTCCAGGGGCATCATGTTCTTTTGGTCAAATGTATAGAAAACTCCCATATTCACAGACTTCTCTGGGTTTGAACAACTAATTATAAAACAATTCTAGTTACAGCCCTAGGACCAGATAAAGGACTTTTATTTTACTATTTTACTAATATTGTGTTTCCTTAGTTTCACTTTAAGCTGAAATCTGTGTATACATCTAAAAACTCTATATCCTGCTTATATACATCTATAGATCTGCTTTTGTGTTAGCTTCAGATTCACAACTAGAACAAAGTCTGTTTGAGCCTAAACTTTGAAGCCAACATTTCTGCAAAGATTGAGTGAATATTTTCTCAGTTTCGTAGAACTGCCAGTGAAGGTTACGACCCCAGTTACTCAGCGAGACCAGGCTTTTCTCTCTGCAGAACTGACCGGACTAAGAAAGCTGCAGTTAGCATTCAATTCAAAAAAGGAGAATATTAAAAGAATATTTGCTCGTAGGAAGTAGCAGCCGAGCATAATAATCCATTTGCATGTTCTGCCTGTGCGCCATGGACGTGATTTAAAAAGCAAAACAGCTGTGAATATTGCAGCGTATGAGAAATTAATTCGTGCCCATGGGTGCGGTTGACTGCTCCTCCTGCAAACAGGGCCCCGGGGACTAGAACTGGTAATATACTGTACACGGCGACGTAAAGCTGAGGTCTTTACTTTGTGTTAAGACTCATCTGACTCTGTAGTGTCCTCATGATCTGGTCTTAAAGAGTCTTAAAGGACACATATTGTGCAAAATCACCTTTTTCCTGTCGCAGCTCAAGCGATTACAGTGTAAATGATTAACACTTCATTAGTATCATCTCTCACTGCACTTGTAAAAAGACTTCTGCTGCTTCTGAAGGAGTCCAAAGGTTCTGAAGGAGTCCAAAGGTTGTGAAGGAGTCCAAAGGTTCTGAAAGAGTCCAAAGGTTGTGAAGGAGTCCAAAGGTTCTGAAGGAGTCCAAAGGTTGTGAAGGAGTCCAAAGGTTCTGAAGGAGTCCAAAGGTTGTGAAGGAGTCCAAAGGTTCTGAAGGAGTCCAAAGGTTCTGAAGGAGTCCAAAGGTTGTGAAGGAGTCCAAAGGTTCTGAAGGAGTCCAAATGTTCTGAAGGAGTCCAAAGGTTGTGAAGGAGTCCAAAAGCACAGTCAAGGCCAGGCTTAAAAACACTTTAATTCAGTCTAAAAGTATTTAGGTTAAACTTTAACACAACTTTAGGTCAAAAATCCAGCTGCATACGGAGACCCTTGCTTTAAAGTTGCACTTTATTAATCCCCGTAGGAAAATTCATCCTCTGCATTTGACCCATCCTGATGCCACTAAGGCTTACGTCAGGAGCAGTGGTCGCCGTAGTAACAGCGCCCGGGAACCCATCTCTAGATGTTGATAATCTGAGTCACGACCCAGGAGGATTTAACCTAGTGAGCATGTTAGGGGAAACTGGAGTACCCGGAGGAACATGCAAACTCCACTCAGAAAGGCGCTGCTCCGACCGGGATTCGAACCCAGGACCTTCTTAATGAGAGGCGAGAGTGCTAAACACTTTTGGACCAAGGGCCACTTTTGGACCAAGAACCACTTTTGGACCAAAAACCACTTTTGGACCAAGTGCCACTTTTGGACCAAGAACCACTTTTGGACCAAGAACCACTTTTGAACCATCCTGTAAAGCTGCTTTCTCGAGGTAAGAAGACGCTGCCCAAAAGCATTGGATAGTTCTCTTTCCGGGTACACCCCCACAGGCCATGGGTGGTATCATGGACCTTTTTGAGCCAAAACGCTGTTTCAAATACTTACAAATAAAATGATTTTAAAATGGCTTCACAAACACATGATTTTGGGCCTGTGAACACATGTTGGTGAGAGTAAAGAAATGGCAGATGAGAAGCATGGCTCACTCGGACTCCAGGGACGTCCACGAGCGAGAGAATGAATCAGAGGTGGGAGGACGGAGGGGGAGGCCGGAGGGGGAGGCCAAGGTCAGACCCTGCAGGTCCCACTCCGGTCCTGGGCGCATGAACAGACTGTTTACAGGTTTGAAGCAGACATTTGCATCTGCACAGTGACTTAGACCAAGTGGAGCAGGAAAACACACACTTTTGGACTAAACACAGCCTCAGGTCCTCAGGGTCTAAACCAGATCCCGGCTCTGAGCGGCATTAGCATGTTCACTTTGAGTTGGAGATTGTAAGTATTTGATGGAACTGGGAGCAGAAAAGACTGAGGAGGAATTTCAAGCCTCAAACTCAAACCATCGACACCGTTTACGACTTCATTTGTGCAGCTCTCTCTCCACACTTCCTCCAGCTCTTCCTGAGGCGTACTCCCAGTCGTTATCTCCCTGGTCTCTCTCTCTGGTCTCTCTCTCTGGTCTTTCTCTCTCTGGTCTTTCTCTCCCTGGTCTCTCTCTCTGGTCTCTCTCTCTGGTCTCTCTCTCTGGTCTTTCTCTCTCTGGTCTCTCTCTATGCTCTCTCTCTCTGGTCTCTCTATCTCTCTGGTCTCTCTTGTTGGTCTCTCTCTCTAGACTCTCTCTCTCTGGTCTCTCTCCCTCTGGTCTCTCTCTGATCTCTCTCTGGTCTCTCTCCTTGCTCTCTCTCTAGACTCTCTCTCTCTAGACTCTCTCTCTCTGGTCTCTCTCCTTGCTCTCTCTCTAGACTCTCTCTCTCTGCTCTCTCTCCCTCTGGTCTCTCTCTGGTCTCTCTCCTTGCTCTCTCTCTAGTCTCTCTCCCTCTGGTCTCTCTCTGGTCTCTCTCCTTGCTCTCTCTCTAGTCTCTCTCTCTCTCTGGTCTATCTCTCTCTACTCTCTCTCTCTCTAGACTCTCTCTCTCTGCTCTCTCTCCCTCTGGTCTCTCTCTGGGCTCTCTCCTTGCTCTCTCTCTGGTCTCTCTCTCTCTCTCTCTCTCTCTCTCTGCTCTCTTTCTCTTTCTGTTGCATTTCCCTCAAAACTCTAAAGCACATATTTCTCTAACACTTTCTCCTTCAGCACAATAATCACACTGTAAACAAACCAAACCGACCAGACTGCTTTAGCTCCGCCCACCTTCTTCTCCCGCGCCGCCATCTGCCTCTTCCTCTTCATCTGACTGCGGGCGATGCTGGCGAACTTGCGAGCCACGGTCCTGGGGCGGCTGATGGGGATGGAGTGGCCCTCGGCGCCCTGGACCGGAGGCACGATCTCGATGGCCGTGATGCACTCGTCGCCCGCCTGCTTGGTCACGATCTTGATCTTGGACCAGCGCGAGGCCCCGCCCACTTTGCAGGGGCCCGGGGCCGAGGTGCTGAGCGTGAGGACCTTCTCCGGGCCCTGGAGAGAAACGACAGCGTGCAAAAGGTTATTTTGTGTCTTTGTTTTGCCCAGAAAGTCGCAAGTTTGTGCCGTGATCGAGGGAGGACTGAGAGAGGACCGAGAGAGGACGGAGAGAGGACGGAGAGAGGACGGAGAGAGGACGGAGAGAGGACGGAGAGAGGACCGAGAGAGGACGGAGAGAGGACGGAGAGAGGACGGAGAGAGGACCGAGAGAGGACCGAGAGAGGACCGAGAGAGGACGGAGAGAGGACGGAGAGAGGACGGAGAGAGGACTGAGAGAGGACTGAGAGAGGACGGAGAGAGGACGGAGAGAGGACGGAGAGAGGACGGAGAGAGGACAGAGAGAGGACGGAGAGAGGACGGAGAGAGGACGGAGAGAGGACTGAGAGAGGACCGAGAGAGGACTGAGAGAGGACCGAGAGAGGACCGAGAGAGGACTGAGAGAGGACTGAGAGAGGACTGAGAGAGGACCGAGAGAGGACCGAGAGAGGACTGAGAGAGGACTGAGAGAGGACTGAGAGAGGAGATGAAAAAGCTGATCCATGTGACATACATGGATAAACTAGTTATAGAACCAAACAGTAGTGACAGAGAATGACAGACTGACTACAGACTCAGAGGGGATTTGAACACATGTTGGGACATTCTTCTCTGGTCGACAGAATAGAACAGACTTTTTGGAGTTGAACAGAACATAATGAGTGTCTCACCTGTGCTTGAGAGAATAATAAGTCATAAAAGATAAAGGTATGTGTGGCCAATATGACTGTTAAGCAGAACTGTACAGATGAGTGCAATAGACACAGACGTCGGACTGGGGGGTAAAGCGTACCGAGTACCCAGGGCCCAAGGCGGGGCCCTGCAGGGCCCAAGGTGGGGAGGGGCCCTCTAAAGTGTGTCTAAATATGTATATGTTTTACACATTAACGCAGTGGGGGCCCCTCGGGTGTGTTTGTGCCAGGGGCAATAGAACTGAAGGTGATGAAAGTGATGGAGAGTTACAGCAGAAGTATTTATTTATAGAGCAGAGCAGAGCAGAGCAGAGTAGAGCAGAGCAGAGTAGAGTAGAGTAGAGTAGAGTAGAGTAGAGTAGAGTAGAGTAGAGCAGAGCAGAGCAGAGCAGAGCAGAGCAGAGCAGTAGAGTAGAGTAGAGTAGAGTAGAGTAGAGTAGAGTAGAGTAGAGCAGAGCAGAGCAGAGCAGAGCAGAGCAGAGCAGAGCAGAGCAGAGCAGAGTAGAGTAGAGCAGAGCAGAGCAGAGTAGAGCAGAGCAGAGCAGAGCAGAGCAGAGAAGAGTAGAGTAGAGTAGAGTAGAGTAGAGTAGAGTAGAGTAGAGTAGAGTAGAGTAGAGTAGAGTAGAGTAGAGTAGAGTAGAGTAGAGTAGAGTAGAGTAGAGTAGAGTAGAGTAGAGTAGAGTAGAGTAGAGCAGAGCAGAGCAGAACAGAGTAGAGCAGAGCAGAGCAGAGCAGAGCAGAGCAGAGCAGAGCAGAGCAGAGCAGAGCAGAGCAGAGCAGAGCAGAGCAGAGTAGAGCAGAGCAGAGCAGAGCAGAGCAGAGCAGAGCAGAGCAGAGTAGAGTAGAGTAGAGCAGAGCAGAGCAGAGCAGAGCAGAGCAGAGCAGAGCAGAGTAGAGTAGAGTAGAGTAGAGCAGAGCAGAGCAGAGCAGAGTAGAGTAGAGTAGAGTAGAGTAGAGCAGAGCAGAGCAGAGCAGAGCAGAGCAGAGCAGAGCAGAGCAGAGTAGAGTAGAGTAGAGTAGAGCAGAGTAGAGTAGAGTAGAGTAGAGTAGAGCAGAGCAGTAGAGCAGAGCAGTAGAGCAGAGCAGAGTAGAGCAGAGCAGAGCAGTAGAGCAGAGCAGTAGAGCAGAGCAGAGTAGAGCAGAGCAGTAGAGTAGAGCAGAGTAGAGCAGTAAGCAGGTGGAAACAGGCTTTAATGATATAAATAATGAGGCCCATATCGCTGACCGTGGGGTTCAATAACGTGCCGGCTCCAGCAGATGGATTGCCCCGGCTGCAGCCACAGCAGAGCCCACAATAACGATGTAAACACAGTGGAGTTAGGAGCATAACAAACGCCTAAGTCTGTGCGGCGCTCTGCCTTTGACGGCGCCGGACAGCCAGCGGCGGCGCTAATGAGCCGAGAGCGGCGAGATATCGACAGGACGCCACCGCCGATCGATCGCTCACCGACAAAAACCTCGTTCCTCTGCGCTGTGACCTCTGCGCTGCTGCGAGAGGAGTGTGTGCGATGAAATATTACAGCTGGAGAAAAGGTGGTTGTTAAAAGGAAAGAGCTCAGATGTAGAGTTTATATAACGGCACTAATGAGGAGCCAATCAGAGACGAAGCAGCTTCAACGATCCCACATTATCAGTCTGCATAAGGCCCATAAGGCAATTCTCACGGACAAAGTTTGGCTCCAACTTTTCACTCTATAATATTGACACTGAAAAGTAAAGTCTCGCTCAGTAACTCTTTGTGTCACACTCAACAATTTGGGATTTCAAAAAATACATATTTTTTTGCTCTCTGTGATCCTGGAGGTTTTATTTGGATATATGTCTTTGTAAATCCAGATATGAGCCATATAAAAATGAACCAATCAGATGCCTTCAGTCGTGGGGGAATCCCCAGCTTGCCTTAGCAACCGCCTTAGCGACACGTCTGCGTCTTGTTATGGGCCGTCAGAACAAATGTCCATATAAGGACATTGGCTCCAGCTAGCTCCTGAGCATTAGGGCTAACACTGGTGATGTCACACTCGGTCACTCCACTCCTGAAATACGCTCCATGAGCAGAAGGTCAGTTTTTCTCGCCGTCCTCCTCCACCTCCTCCTCCTCCACCTCCCTCCACCTCCTCCTCCACCTCCCTCCACCTCCTCCTCCTCCTCCTCTCCTCCTCCCTCCACCTCCCTCCACCTCCTCCTCCTCCTCCTCCTCCTCCTCCCTCCACCTCCACCTCCTCCTCCTCTTCCTCCTCCCTCCTCCTCCTCCTCCTCCTCCTCCCTCCACCTCCACCTCCTCCTCCTCCTCCTCCACCTCCTCCTCCTCCTCCTCCCTCCACCTCCTCCTCCTCCTCCACCTCCTTCTCCTCCTCCCTCCACCTCCTCCTCCTCCCCCTCCTCCCTCCACCCCTCCTCCTCCGCCTCCTCCTCCACCTCCTTCTCCTCCTCCCTCCACCTCCTCCTCCTCCTCCTCCCTCCACCTCCTCCTCCTCCTCCTCCCTCCACCTCCTCCTCCACCTCCTCCTCCTCCACCTCCTCCTCCTCCACCTCCTTCTCCTCCTCCCTCCACCTCCTCCTCCTCCCTCCACCTCCACCTCCTCCTCCTCCTCCTCCACCTCCACCTCCTCCTCCCTCCTCCCTCCACCTCCCTCCACCTCCACCTCCTCCCTCCCTCCACCTCCACCTCCTCCTCCTCCCTCCTCCCTCCTCCTCCCTCCACCTCCTCCTCCCTCCACCTCCACCTCCTCCTCCTCCTCCTCCTCCCTCCTCCTCCTCCTCCCTCCACCTCCTCCTCCACCTCCTCCTCCTCCCTCCCACCACCTCCTCCTCCTCCTCCACCCCCTCCTCCTCCTCCTCCTCCTCCTCCCTCCACCTCCTCCTCCCTCCCCTCCACTCCTCCCCCTCCACCTCCACCTCCTCCTCCCTCCACCTCCACCTCCTCCTCCTCCTCCTCCCTCCACCTCCTCCTCCCTCCACCTCCACCTCCTCCTCCTCCTCCCTCCTCCTCCCTCCACCTCCTCCTCCACCTCCTCCTCCTCCCTCCACCACCTCCTCCTCCTCCTCCACCTCCTCCTCCTCCTCCTCCTCCTCCCTCCACCTCCTCCTCCCTCCACCTCCTCCTCCCTCCACCTCCACCTCCTCCTCCTCCTCCTCCTCCCTCCTCCTCCTCCTCCCTCCACCTCCTCCTCCACCTCCTCCTCCTCCCTCCACCACCTCCTCCTCCTCCTCCACCTCCTCCTCCACCTCCTCCTCCTCCCTCCAGGCCCAGCGTGAGGAGGGCCGTGTGCAGAGGCAGCCTTGCTCTGTGGCTGGAGCGCCGCCGTCGTCCGGTCGCGCTGGGACCAATTTCCCCGCAGCCTCGTCTCCTGAGCCGCAGGAATGACAGCTCCGTGAGGATAATGGGTTTGGGAGACCGGACCCTGAGGACAGGCCCGTCCGGTCCAGGTGAGGAGGGAGGGGGAGGGAGGGGGAGGGAGGGGGGAGGAGGGGGAGGCCTTTTCACACACTGTCACATTCTGCTGTTCAGGCTCTAGTTAAAGACTTTTGGAGAGTTTGAGGAAAGTGGAAGAAGTAGAACAGAATATTGAATTATATGTACTGTTTACTGTATGAAAACAACAGTCTGAGCGTTTCTCTTCAGTCTGGATGAGGTCTGCCCCTCAGTCTGGATGAGGTCTGGATGAGGTCTGCCCCTCAGTCTGGATGAGGTCTGGATGAGGTCCCTTCAGTCTGGATGAGGTCTGGATGAGGTCCGGATGAGGTCTCGTCATGATCTCGGCCCAGAACGAGCCCTGACCTCTGTTTCTTGTTTCAGAATGCAATATTTATCCATAAACAAAAGGCCTGGGAGGTCTGAGAGTGGGAGGAGGTCTGGGAGGTCTGAGAGGTCTGGGAGGTCTGGGAGTGGGAGGTCTGAGAGTGGGAGGTCTAGGAGGTCTGAGAGAGGGAGGAGGTCTGGGAGGTCTGAGAGGTCTGGGAGGTCTGGGAGTGGGAGGTCTGAGAGTGGGAGGTCTAGGAGGTCTGAGAGAGGGAGGAGGTCTAGGAGGTCTGGGAGCAGGAGGAGGTCTAGGAGGTCTGAGAGCAGGAGGAGGTCTGGGAGGTCTGAGAGGTCTGGGAGGTCTGGGAGTGGGAGGTCTGAGAGTGGGAGGTCTAGGAGGTCTGAGAGAGGGAGGAGGTCTAGGAGGTCTGGGAGCAGGAGGAGGTCTAGGAGGTCTGAGAGAGGGAGGAGGTCTGGGAGGTCTGAGAGGTCTGGGAGGGTCTGGGAGTGGGAGGTAGAGTGGGAGGTCTAGGAGGTCTGAGAGAGGGAGGAGGTCTAGGAGGTCTGGGAGCAGGAGGAGGTCTAGGAGGTCTGAGAGCAGGAGGAGGAGAACATATATCTTTGCAGAAGTGAAGTTCCCCAGAGCCATGACAGGACATGTCCAAACCAGGTTCTTAATGAGGGACCACAGGTTTTTAATGAGGGACCACAGGTTTTTAATGAGGGACCAGAGGTTCTTAATGAGGGACCAGAGGTTTTTAATGAGGGACCAGAGGTTTTTAATGAGGGACCAGAGGTTTTTAATGAGGGACAAGAGGTTTTTAATGAGGGACCAGAGGTTCTTATCTTAATGAGGGACCAGAGGTTTTTAATGAGGGACCAGAGGTTCTTAATGAGGGACCAGAGGTTTTTAATGAGGGACCAGAGGTTCTTAATGAGGGACCAGAGGTTTTTAATGAGGGACCAGAGGTTCTTATCTTAATGAGGGACCAGAGGTTTTTAATGAGGGACCAGAGGTTTTTAATGAGGGACCAGAGGTTTTTAATGAGGGACCAGAGGTTTTTAATGAGGGACCAGAGGTTTTTAATGAGGGACCAGAGGTTTTTAATGAGGGACCACAGGTTTTTAATGAGGGACCACAGGTTTTTAATGAGGGACCAGAGGTTTTTAATGAGGGACCAGAGGTTTTTATGAGGGACCAGAGGTTTTTAATGAGGGACCAGAGGTTTTTAATGAGGGACCAGAGGTTTTTAATGAGGGACCACAGGTTTTTAATGAGGGACCAGAGGTTTTTAATGAGGGACCAGAGGTTTTTAATGAGGGACCAGAGGTTTTCAATGAGGGACCAGAGGTTTTTAATGAGGGACCAGAAGGAGCACACTTGGCCTCAATGTTTTTTCCAACACGGTTTTTTGGCAAGAAGCAAAATATTTATCCAGGGAATCAAGCAACACTGCAAATCAAAACGTTACAGGAGATTTGGATTGCATCCCTTTAGTCTCTACATGAGGTTATGGCAGCAATATTAAAATGTTTTGCTAAACTAATATTAGCAATAATTATCAGTTTCCTCAGACATAGACTCACAGAGGTCTTTTCTGAGTCGATCTTATCCAAACTAGTCCCTGTGTGTCCATCACAGCTGATGTTTTAGATTCCTTACCTTTCATTGTGTAAAGAAAGTGTGTGTTTTATTAGCATATTAATGAATGTGAATGTATCCAGTTTAGAACCACTTTGGGTTGACCTACAGTGAAGTGTTGAAACCAAGCTAACAATTATCCACAATGTCGACAAATGGGGTGTTTTGTGAAAACCGTGCTGCATGATGATGTCCAACAAGTATCTTGTCTTGGGTGAGGATGTTTTTATCTTGTGGGGCCACTCCGTTGTGAGGGTGTGGGTTATTTGTTCTGGAATGAATAAGGGGCCTGCAGGGTATCAGGCAGGACTTGGTTTTGGGGCTGCGTTAGGACGCGCAGGCCTCCTTCGACGCTGAAAACCATCTCCTCCTTGTTACATGCAAGTAAAAAACTAACCTGGTCTGTTGGGTGCTTCTGTCAGATAACTGCAGTTAAACCCATTTTTAACACATTGCTTCCGTCAAAATCTGGTTTCCGTCAAGTTTCTATGTTCAAATCCAGGTTAAAAACTGGATTGTACCTCTCTCTTTAAAGTACTATGATTGATGCTGAGTTTGAATCCCAGTCTGAACAGGGCTTTTCCTTCTTCAATAGTGGGCAATGCCTGGAGGTTCTAGTCCAGAATCAATCAGAATATTATCTGTTAGTGGTATTTCTGAGTCGAGAGGAGTCCGAGTCTGGGCTCACACTGCTGCCTCCGCCACGTGGCACCGGATCAAGCGGAGGCAAAGAGACGGCTGGAAGTAGCATCTCTGAGCTTTCACCGCACTATCGTTTGTTCATGTTTTATCCACATTGGCCAGAACACTCCAACATGGCTCCTTCTGAAATGGTCGTTCTAACTTTCATTAATAATTGCGTTACTTTTATTCATTAGTTTTTATTTACTTCATATATTTTTGGTAGATTAAAACTTGACAGAGCTTCATGGTTTATTGTTTAAATTTTTTCTGCAGCCCTTTGGAAAGTGACGACTCCACCCATTTCCACCGGTCTCCATGGTAACACTGGACTCACTTGAGGAAAAGGGGCGGAGTCTGGTTGGTATGAAAACCCGCAGCCACAGCCGCCCTTTGAGAACCGGTTTGACACCACTGCATCTCAAGACAAGACAGCACCAGGACATTTTCACGAAGGGGACAAAGAGATATTGGCGAAAACATTAAAACAAATACACATCCATTACTGCGTTGGCGTCGCACGGAACCGACGCCGCCACGAATCCCCCGAGTCACCATTAAAATCATCCCCGCTGTGTGATTATAGACATATGTGTCATCGCGAAAGGCCCTAAATGAACGTGATTGTGTTGAACAAATAGGTAAAGCTCACAGGCGTCTTCACACTGCAGCTCTGAACCGGGTCAAACGTGTTCACGCCGCAGCATTAATGAAGCTCTGGGTCTGACACTGCTTCTCTCTGGTTCTTAATTAAAAAACGGCACACTTGGACACATCTACTGCTGCATGTTTCTGCTAAAGTTTTCCAAATGTGTTTTAACTTTTTGCCAGAATCCGTGTCCGTGAACTACACCCCACGCTCTTTCTCAAACTCAAAACCAGTCAGAACCACGGATCCACAAACCGGTCCACGCGCTTTCATCAGACTATGAGCAGGTTCCCTCATCAAACAGAGCTGGAGCTGTTTCGAGCTCTATCCAGACTAATCAAAGGCACACACAGATCCCCCCACCCCCTTCAGCTCAAACACTTTAAACTAACACAATGATATCATGAGGTTATAACAACAATTAAACAGTGTATTTGATTATATAGTTTAATGTTCAATGTTTAGGTCTGCTATAAAGGAGCAAAAGTGAAATGTCGAGTGATAAAACCTCCCGTGGTCTCGATCCCACATTCATACTAATTAAGATGGTGTTCGTCCAGCAACCCTCCTCCTCCCCGTCTCATCAGCTTCTGCCACCGCCAGGATCTAGGGCTTCTCATGTTCTAGTCTTTTGTCGTGAGTCTCTCTGTTTTGAAATAACAGATTTTACTGTGATTTCAGTGGATTTAAAACTACCTTCTCCAGCTAAACTCTAAAACATTGTCCCTGGGGACAAAGAGCAAGTTCAAAAGTCACCTCCAGTAATCTACGAGTAATAAGGTGGGCCTCCTGCTGGTCCTAGGAGCACAGGGACTGGCCTCCTGCTGGTCCTAAGAGCACAGGGACTGGCCTCCTGCTGGTCCTAAGAGCACAGGGACTGGCCTCCTGCTGGTCCTAAGAGCACAGGGACTGGCCTCCTGCTGGTCCTAAGAGCACAGGGACTGGCCTCCTGCTGGTCCTAAGAGCACAGGGACTGGCCTCCTGCTGGTCCTAGTGTCCTAGTGTGTGTGACACACACACACGTCACCATCTCATCTTAACTCACTGTAACAAACGAAAAGGGCCAATCACAGCGCTCCTTCAGCCCGTGGCGCTCTCCTCTGATTGGCTGGCCTTGATCATCGACCTTGACTAATGGACGTTTAAGGATTGTGATAATAGCGGGTAATAAGGACTCTCCAGTTAAATGTCTGTAATGATGATGTTTCCGAGGACCGGGTCTACAGCAGGACCGGGTCTACAGCGGCCTCGGAGAGAGCCCAGGACCGGGTCTACAGCGGCCTCGGAGAGAGCCCAGGACCTAGTCTACAGCGGCCTCGGAGAGAGCCCAGGACCGGGTCTACAGCGGCCTCGGAGAGAGCCCAGGACCGAGTCTACAGCGGCCTCGGAGAGAGCCCAGGACCGGGTCTACAGCGGCCTCGAAGAGAGTCCAGGACCGGGTCTACAGCGGCCTCGGAGAGAGCCCAGGACCGGGTCTACAGCGGCCTCGGAGAGAGTCCAGGACCGGGTCTACAGCGGCCTCGGAGAGAGTCCAGGACCGGGTCTACAGCGGCCTCGGAGAGAGTCCAGGACCGGGTCTACAGCGGCCTCGGAGAGAGCCCAGGACCGAGTCTACAGCGGTTCCCCAGAGGTTTGAACCCAGAGGGATGCGACCCCAACCCTTACTGTTGGAGCAGAGCTGTGTGTTTGCTGTTACTCACTAGTTTTATTTTACTTTTAACTATTTTTGACAATTCTTTCTAACACTTTGTGTGGGTTTGTTCAGCAGCAGAAACATCTCTTTGGTCCAAAACATGGAACGTGTTTAAATCAATAAAACAATAATTCATTTTGTATTTTTAAATCTAATTTATATTTTTGTGTCGTCATATTTTGGGGTGTTTTATACAGAATATTTTGACTTTATCACAATTCATCCTCAAATAAGGAAACCAGGACGAGACCAGGACTTGACCAGTATGAGACCAGGACTAGAGCAGTACTGAACCAGGACTGAACCAGGACTAGACCAGTACTAGACCAGGACTAAACTAGGACTAGACCAGCATGAGACCAGGACTAGAGCAGTACTGAACCAGGACTGAACCAGGACTAGACCAGTACTAGACCAGGACTAAACCAGGACTAGACCAGCATGTGATCAGGACTAAAGCAGTACTGAACCAGGACTGAACCAGGACTAGACCAGTAATAGACCAGGACTAAACTAGGACTAGACCAGCGTGAGACCAGGAGTAGAGCAGGACTGAACCAGGACTGAACCAGGACTGAACCAGGACTGAACCAGGACTAGACCAGCGTGAGACCATCCATGCCGGTTGAATCCATGCAGTTTTTAGATCCATAATTAGGTCACATTTTGGCTCCTTTTTAACCTTGCCACAAACACAATCCTCTTTTTAAAACCGCGGCGCTTTAGTGACATCTGTCCAAACAAACATGTCCGCCAGCTCTCCCATCATGCACTGCTCTCACCTCGCTGTTGGCGCTGTCTTTGGGCTCTGAGGGCGGGATGATGGCCGTGGTGGAGTCGTTGGAGCTCTCCTTCTCCTCCTGCACACAGACAACAGGGTTAGACACAGACTGCTGATGCAACCCACCTGCTGGGGTCCCGATGGAAACAGGACAGTATTGAACAAGAGTCTGTACCTGTGTCAGTCTGTACCTATGTCTGTACCTGTGTCAGTCTGTACCTGTCTGAGTGTGTACCTGTGTGAGTGTGAGTGTGTACCTGTGTCAGTCTGTACCTGTGTCAGTCTGTACCTGTGTCTGTACCTGTGTGTACCTATGAGTGTGTACCTGTGTCAGTCTGTACCTGTGTGAGTCTGTACCTGTGTGTACCTGTGTCTGTACCTGTGTGAGTGTGTACCTGTGTGAGTGTGTACCTGTGTGAGTGTGTACCTGTGTGAGTCTGTACCTGTGTGAGTCTGTACCTGTGTGTCTGTACCTGTGTGAGTGTGTACCTGTGAGTTTGCGTGTACCTGTGTGAGTGTGTACCTGTGAGTCTGTGTGTACCTGTGTGAGTGTGTACCTGTGTCTGTACCTGTATGAGTCTGTACCTGTGTGTCTGTACCTGTGTGAGTCTGTACCTGTGTCTGTATCTGTGTGTACCTGTGTGAGTCTGTACCTGTCTGTACCTGTGTGTCTGTACCTGTGTCTGTACCTGTGTGTCTGTACCTGTGTGTCTGTACCTGTGTCTGTACCTGTGTGTCTGTACGTGTGAGTCTGTACCTGTGTGAGTCTGTACCTGTGTGAGTCTGTACCTGTGTGTCTGTACCTGTGTGAGTCTGTACCTGTGTCTGTATCTGTGTGTACCTGTGTGAGTCTGTACCTGTCTGTACCTGTGTGTCTGTACCTGTGTGTCTGTACCTGTGTGAGTCTGGGGCTGGGCTGTGCTGACCCCTTGGCCCCGCCCCCTGCTGCTCCCTGGCTCCGCCCCTCCTCCTGCACCTGTCCGTTCTCCAGGGTGTCCGTGGCGACAGGGGGCGGGGCCTGGCTCAGTTTGGGGGCGGGGTCTTCAGGGACGGCCGCGGGGCTGGGCTCGTTGTTGTTGTTCTGCTTCAGCAGGTGGCTCTTCAGGAGGTTCGGGGTCCTGCACAAACACAGAGGAATATTAAAATATATATAAATACATATATTTATTAAATAAATGATAAATATAAATAAATATCATATAAAAGCATTGGTCCAGCAGCAAAACCAGTGGCTTAAACCTGTCTCCACAGGGACTAGAGGCCACCTGTGGTACTGCAGCTTAACCCCACATGGACTAGAGGCCATCTGTGGTACTGCAGCTTAAACCCACATGGACTAGAGGCCACCTGTGGTACTGCAGCTTAAACCCACATGGACTAGAGGCCACCTGTGGTACTGCAGCTTAAACCCACATGGACTAGAGGCCATCTGTGGTACTGCAGCTTAAACCCACATGGACTAGAGGCCATCTGTGGTACTGCAGCTTAAACTCACATGGACTAGAGGCCATCTGTGGTACTGCAGCTTAAACCCACATGGACTAGAGGCCATCTGTGGTACTGCAGCTTAAATCCACAGGGACTAGAGGCCACCTGTGGTACTGCAGCTTAAACCCACATGGACTAGAGGCCACCTGTGGTACTGCAGCTTAAACCCACATGGACTAGAGGCCATCTGTGGTACTGCAGCTTAAACCCCCATGGACTAGAGGCCACCTGTGGTACTGCAGCTTAAACCCACATGGACTAGAGGCCACCTGTGGTACTGCAGCGTAAACCCACATGGACTAGAGGCCACCTGTGGTACTGCAGCACACGGCTGCAGAGATTTCCCCGTAGACCTTAATGAAATCTAAAACGACTGGTCCTCCGCTGACAGGGACCTACAGCTTTCACAAAGAAGGATTTTAGCGTCTCTTGTTGACCCTGAACTTTTGTCTTTTGAAATCCATCCGTTTTCTTTGAATCCACACTTTTGTGCAACAGACTCGGTTGGCTCTTGTCCTGCTCGGTCCGAACCCTCCCATGTTCCCGTGTACGAGCAGAGTCCGCTCTGATTCTTTCACTCCAAACACGGTGGTGATAAACTACTACTCTCCCCCCGACCGCCACCAACCATTCCCATACAGACTCATACTACTGTGGGTAAAGTGTCTTGCCTAAGGGCACAACAGCAATTTGACACTTTGCAGCCACAGCCGCTCCACCGGCTGTTCCCAGGGGTCTACCATCACAGTAGTAACCAGGCCTTGCTCTGCTTAGCTTCAGAGGTTTGTTGCTTTGCCTCTGCAGGTTCATATGTTTTTATATGTTTCCATCTGTGACGCCTGACCCTCTCTGAGCTTTTACAGAGCTGGATGTACAGAGAGAGGGGCCCCGGGGCCTGGACCCGTGGGGGGCCCTTCCATCAGCATCCATCTCCATTATCTCTGAATGTCTGTAACACGCACACACAGCCACACACACAAACCCACACACACAAAGACACACACAGACACACGCACACACACACGCACACACACACACACAGACACACAAACCCACACAAAGACACGCGCACGTACACACACACACACGCACAGACACACACACACACAGACGCACACGCACAAACACACACAAAGACATACACACACACAGACACACACACACACACAGACACACACACATGGGAGTACAGTGGTCGTGCTGTGTGAATATCCACTCAAAATAAAAAAAATGCTTTCCAATCGTCATGGCAACGGATTAAATAATGAACTTGATCCTCTGGTCATAAGCTTTGGGAACTGACCAAAAGGAAGAATTCACAGATACAAGCACAATGAGTGGCTGGTCCTTTAGAGATGGGGGTGGAGCTCAGAATAGAGCCGCTGCTTCTCCACTGTTACACATCTCTGGGCAGCTGTTCTGGACATGTCCCACTGAGAGGAGACCCAAGGAAGACCCGGGACATGATAACAATACTGCCACTGCCACCCAGCAATGGATAAAACAGAAGATAATGGATGAGCTAACAGGATGCTAGCTGTTGTGGGCTGTACCATTACCAAAGAAAAATGGGGGATAACTTTGGACCTTGGCAGAGTGGAAATTATTGATTGGCCTCAGTCTAGAAACGTGATGTCCCCGGATCCCAGGGAGATAAAAAGGTAAAACCATATTTCCAGAACTCTCCTGTCAGTGTGGTTCTGGTTCTGTTTCTGGTTCTGTTTCTGGTTCTGCTGCTGCGGTGGAGCCACGGTCACTGCACGCATATGTTTGACTTTATTTGTATAGCGCCGGTGGTAAAGCGGCTCCGTGTCGGGCTAATTACGAGGCTGATGGATAATTATGCTCGTTACATGAGCATTCAAGTGTGCTACAAAACAACAGAGAGCTACAGGAAATCATTTAGTTTGGTCTCGCTCCGGCTCTGACCCGTCACCGCCGGATTCCTCCCGGGGATGGTTTAATGCGTTTTATAACAACAATTATCTTCCATATTTATGATTTGGTCTGTTCCTGTCCGGATGTTTGTCTGCTTTTAAATGTTTTTGTGTCTGACAGATTGTTTAATTAAAATGCAGATTTCCATTCAAATGTATCATTATTTATTTAAACTTGTGTTTATTGAGGGGGTTACGGTAAAAGTTACTAATAATAAGTGATAATAAAACTGAACGACTGCTGCAGTGCGATCAGAGAGATATTAACCTGTTGTAGGTCTGAGCTGCTGCTGCTGAAGCACAAACTAAAATCCACAAAACAGTGAAACAGTGAAGGAGCGCTTCACACGCTTCACACGCTTCACACGCTTCACACCCTTCACACGCTTCACACGTTTCACACGCTTCACACGTTTCACACGCTTCACACGTTTCACACGTTTCACACGTTTCACACGCTTCACACGTTTCACACCCTTCACACGCTTCACACGCTTCACACGCTTCACACGTTTCACACGCTTCACACGCTTCACACGCTTCACACGCTTCACACGTTTCACACGTTTCACACGCTTCACACGTTTCACACGCTTCACACGTTTCACACGTTTCACACCCTTCACACACTTCACACACTTCACACGTTTCACACGTTTCACACGTTTCACACGTTTCACACGCTTCACACGTTTCACACCCTTCACACACTTCACACGTTTCACACGTTTCACACGTTTCACACCCTTCACACACTTCACACGTTTCACACGTTTCACACGCTTCACACGCTTCACACGCTTCACACGTTTCACACGTTTCGCACGCTTCACACGTTTCACACCCTTCACACGCTTCACACGCTTCACACGTTTCACACGCTTCACACGTTTCACACCCTTCACACCCTTCACACGTTTCACACGCTTCACACGCTTCACACGCTTCACACGCTTCACACGTTTCACACCCTTCACACGTTTCACACCCTTCACACCCTTCACACGTTTCACACGCTTCACACGTTTCACACCCTTCACACCCTTCACACGTTTCACACCCTTCACACCCTTCACACGCTTCACACGCTTCACACCCTTCACACGTTTCACATGCTTCACACGTTTCACACGCTTCACACGCTTCACACGCTTTACACGCTTTACACGCTTTACACGCTTTACACGCTTTACACGCTTTACACGTTTCACACGCTTCGCACGCTTCGCACGTTTCACACGCTTCACACGCTTCACACGCTTCACACGTTTCACACCCTTCACACGCTTCAAACGCCTCACACGCTTCACACGTTTCACACGCTTCACACGCTTCACACGTTTCACACGCTTCACACCCTTCACACGTTTCACACGCTTCACACGTTTCACACGCTTCACACGCTTCACACGTTTTACACGCTTCACACGTTTCACACCCTTCACACGCTTCACACGCTTCACACGTTTCACACGCTTCACACGTTTCACACCCTTCACACCCTTCACACGTTTCACACCCTTCACACCCTTCACACGTTTCACACGCTTCACGCGCTTTACACGCTTCACACGCTTCACACGTTTCACACGCTTCACACGCTTCGCACGTTTCGCACGCTTTGCACGCTTCACACGTTTCACACGCTTCACACGCTTCACACGTTTCACACGCTTCACACGCTTCGCACGTTTCGCACGCTTTGCACGCTTCACACGTTTCACACGCTTCACACGCTTCACACGTTTCACACGTTTCACACCCTTCACACCCTTCACACGCTTCACACGCTTCACACGCTTCACACGCTTCACACGTTTCACACCCTTCACACACTTCACACGCTTCACACGCTTCACACGCTTCACACGTTTTACACGTTTTACACGTTTCACACGTTTCACACGCTTCACACGCTTCACACGCTTCACACGTTTCACACCCTTCACACGTTTCACACCCTTCACACCCTTCACACGTTTCACACGCTTCACACGCTTCACACGTTTCACACCCTTCACACGTTTCACACCCTTCACACCCTTCACACGTTTCACACCCTTCACACCCTTCACACGCTTCACACGCTTCACACGTTTCACATGCTTCACACGTTTCACACGCTTCACACGCTTCACACGCTTTACACGCTTTACACGCTTTACACGCTTTACACGCTTTACACGCTTTACACGCTTCACACGCTTCACACGTTTCACACGCTTCGCACGTTTCACACGCTTCACACGCTTCACACGCTTCACACGTTTCACACGCTTCACACGCTTCACACGTTTCACACCCTTCACACGCTTCACACGCCTCACACGCTTCACACGTTTCACACGCTTCACACGCTTCACACGTTTCACACCCTTCACACACTTCACACGTTTCACACGCTTCACACGTTTCACACGCTTCACACGCTTCACACGCTTCACACCCTTCACACGTTTCACACGCTTTACATGTTTCACACGCTTCACACACTTTACACGCTTCACACGTTTCACACGCTTCACACGCTTTGCACGTTTCACACGCTTCACACGCTTCACACGCTTCACACGTTTCACACGCTTCACACGCTTCACACGTTTCACACGCTTCACACGCTTCACACCCTTCACACGCTTCACACCCTTCACACATTTCACACGCTTCACACGCTTCACACGTTTCACACGCTTCACACGCTTCACACGTTTCACACGCTTTACACTGAGAAATGAATAAATGACATAAATGTGGATTATTTCCGGCTCTGTACATGTTCATGACTGAAACAGAAGTGTGTTACAGTCGTCAAAGCGCGGACACTTTCTTCTGGATAAATCTGTGCCTGAGAATCTCACCACAATCTGTGACATTTAAAAATAAGTTGGACACATGGAGAGTTTCCTGAGGCCAAAAACCTGAAGATCCTTAAAAACCACTCAGTTCTACTGTGTGTGTGACGTGTGTGTGACGTGTGTGTGTGACGTGTGTGTGTGACGTTGTGTGATGTGTGTGTGGCGTGTGTGTGACGTGTGTGTGTGATGTGTGTGTGGCGTGTGTGTGACGTGTGTGTGACGTGTGTGTGTGACGTGTGTTGTGTGTGATGTGTGTGTTGTGTGTGACGTGTGTGTGACGTGTGTTGTGTGTGACGTGTGTGTTGTGTGTGTTGTGTTGTGTGTCCCACCTGACTCCGCCCTTCTTGTCCTTCTCAGTCTTGTGCTTGGACACTCGGCTGCGGGAGGCCAAGGAGATGTGGATGTACAGGACCGTCATGATGACCACCGGGAGGTAGAAGGCGGCGATGGCGGTGCCAAAGGTGACCGCGGGATTGGACAGGAACTGTGCAGACACACACACACACACACGCACACAGGCACACACACACACACACACACACAGGCACACACACGCACACACACACAGGCACATGCAGACAGATACACACACACACACACAGGCACACACAGACCCACACACACAGGCACACACACACACAGGCACACACACACACACACACACAAACACGCACACACACACACACATGAGTTAGGGAAACACTTGAGAATCATATGTGATCAGGGTTGTCAGAGTCATTTTTGGGGAACCTGTTTTTTTGGAGGTCTTAACTAAGTTTTTGATTTGCCATCAACAGATCAGAGAATCAGTTCAAACACAGGAATTGCAACAGTGACACATACATGCGTGTCATTGGTCCAGAGGAGGCAGGATGTAGGACCCAGACATGAAGATACAGCTGCAATCACCAAAACATTACATTTTTCAACTGACTTCTTGTCAAATAAAAGTATTGCTCAAAACATAACTGACAACTTCTCAAGCGAAATACTCATTCTCATACTGTCGCATGGTTGTGTTTGCAGCTGGTAATTTTCAAATTTGCACACAAAAAAAGAAATGAAATTCAGCTCCTCCCTCTGATGGCAGCATAGGGAGTTACAGACACCGATGGCACTACATGTCTGGGTCTACATGTCTGGGTCTACATGTCTGGGTCTACATGTCTGGGTCTACATGGCTGGGTCTACATGACTGGGTCTACATGGCTGGGTCTACATGGCTGGGTCTACATGACTGGGTCTACATGGCTGGGTCTACATGGTTGGGTCTACATGGCTGGGGCTACATGGCTGGGTCTACATGGCTGGGTCTACATGGCTGGGTCTACATGACTGGGTCTACATGGCTGGGTCTACATGGCTGGGTCTACATGACTGGGTCTACATGACTGGGTCTACATGGTTGGGTCTACATGGCTGGGTCTACATGACTGGGTCTACATGACTGGGTCTACATGGCTGGGTCTACATGACTGGGTCTACATGACTGGGTCTACATGACTGGGTCTACATGACTGGGTCTACATGGCTGGGTCTACATGACTGGGTCTACATGGGTCTGTCTCCTTCAGTTACAGCCTCTCTCCTCAGTTCCACCTGGAGCCGGTGCCTAATGTGGGACAGTGGTGTATATCATTATGGGATGTCACACTGCGCCCGTGGCTCTTGTCGGTCAGGGTTAATGTGAGCCAGCGAGTCCAGGGCGAGTCCAGGGCTCAGACTCAGGGACTTTCTCAGGTCCATTTAGGAACAGACTTTAACTGGCTGTTTTTATATGTTATATTTATATAATCAATATATACATTATAATAATACAATCAGTGTTTTTTTACTTGTAAGGTTCATGCTGTGCAGCACTTTGTTTACACTGTCTCTGAAAAGTGCTATAATGTGTTATTATTATAAATATTACAATTATCAAAGACAGAAGCTAGTTTCCATCTGCAGTCTCCGGAGTGTGTTATTCTTTTATTGAAAATGATTATACATCAATATATTTTACATATTTACACTAACTACATGTAATCAGACTACATGTAATCTCACTACATGTAATCTGATTACATGTAATCTAACTACATGTAATCAGACTACATGTAATCTAACTACATGTAATCTGACTACATATAATCTAACTACATGTAATCTGACTACATGTAATCTAACTACATGTAATCAGACTACATGTAATCTAACTACATGCAATCTGACTACATATAATCTGACTACATGTAATCTAACTACATGTAATCAGACTACATGTAATCTGACTACATGTAATCTAACTACATGTAATCTAACTACATGTAATCTAACTACATGTAATTAGACTACATGTAATCTAACTACATATAATCTGACTACATGTAATCAGACTACATGTAATCTGACTAAATGTAATCTAACTACATTTAATCTAACTACATGTAATCTAACTACGTGTAATCTAACTACATGTAATCAGACTACATGTAATCTGACTACATGTAATATAACTACATGTAATCTGACTACATGTAATCTAACTGCATGTAATCTGACTACATGTAATCTGACTACATGTAATCTGACTACATGTAATCTAACTACATGTAATCTGACTACATGTAATCTAACTAAATGTGATCTAACTAAATGTAATCTGACTACATGTAATCTAACTACATGTAATCTGACTACATGTAATCTGACTACATGTAATCTGACTACATGTAATCTGACTACATGTAATCTAACTACATGTAATCTACTACATGTAATCTGACTGCATGTAATCTGACTACATGTAATCTAACTACATGTAATCTGACTACATGTAATCTGACTACATATAATCTGACTACATGTAATCTAACTACATGTAATCTAACTACATGTAATCTGACTACATGTAATCTAACTACATGTAATCTAACTACATGTAATCTGACTACATATAATCTGACTACATGTAATCTAACTACATGTAATCTAACTACATGTAATCTGACTACATGTAATCTGACTACATATAATCTGACTACATGTAATCTAACTACATGTAATCTAACTACATGTAATCTGACTACATACTTTGACATGAGTGAGTTTCAGGACCATGGACAGCTCCTTCAGTCAAACTGAATGAGATGTTTGTAAATTGCATGGACGTGACTCAGGTGCTGCTCGATGGTGACGACTCTGTTGTGAATACTCTTTGCTGTAACTTCAGAAACCATCAACACAAACCAGGAGACTCACTATGTGTGGACTAGTTCCTTTGAGAGGTTAGAATGATAATACATTCTTGTTGTTCCTAGAACAGACTGAAGCGAGTACAAAGGCAGCTTCATTCTGCTACGAGCTGCCTTTGTACTTGCTTCAGTCTCCGTGACAGACTCCTGCCCCTGAACCTTTTCAGCCCATTCATCTTTGATACACACATCCTCAAAGAGAAAAGAAACTAAAGGTTTACTAAATGTTCATCTTTAAGACTCTCCTTGAAAACAGGTTAAACGAGTAATTCTGCCCCTTCTGTCTAAAAGCTCAGACTTAGCGACAGTACAATGTCATTGTACCGCTGTGAAACAAAAGTACTGCCCTAGACTAGTTTTGGCCATGTTTCAGGTGTATTTTCTACTTCAGATATTATTTCACATTCTAAAACATGAAATGACAAAGTAAATATTATAATCCGTTAAAAAGGCCAATAATAATCCATAAAGTGTGTTTAAATTAACACTTTATGTCCTCTGCATTTGACCCGTCCTTTGTTGCGGTGGTTGTCAGGGTAACAGGGGCCTCGGTCAGGAGGTGGTCACCATGGTAACAGGGGCCTCGGTCAGGAGGTGGTCCCCATAGAAACAGGGGCCTCGGTCAGGAGGTGGTCGCCATAGTAACAGATGTCAACACTCTTGGTCAAAGCTGGAGCCAGAGTGTTTGACCTATTGTACATGTTTTTCGTGGGGAAACCAAAGGAACCTAGCCAGACACGGGGAGAACATGCAAACACCCAGGACCTTTTTGCTGTGAAGCGAGAGCGTTAACCACTCAGCCACCGCAATATTTCTCCTTTAAACTCTATTTGTCTTTCAACTGGAGTGGAAATGGAATTCTGCAGAGCTTATAATGAAGATGGAAAAACAAAAGTTATTAACAGTTGGAAGAAAGTGGTATTTATCAGGGTTTGAGTCTTAAAATAAGATTTCCCAGCGGAACCAGCGTATTTATGTAAAATACTGAAACGATAAGAAATGTCTGTGTCTGCAATAACACCCGCCAGAGCTTGTTCCATAATTGACAAATCTAATTTCAAGACGATCAAATCCAGATAAATACTGATTCATTCAAGCAATTTAAATGTCGTCTCTGTTTTTTATGACGTTTGTCGGCTTCAGAATATTGCCCTAAACCTGGCGCCCATTCGCTGAGGTCTAATATACAGTCTATGGGTCTAATGCCATACGCTGGGAATATCAACCATAAGCCTAAGTTGCCATAGAAACAGCAGTTAGGCCCAGCAGAACTTATTTCACCAGTATTTTGTGTGTGTGTGTGTCTGTGTGTGTGAATGTGTCTGTGTGTGTGCGTATCTGTGTCTATATGTGTGTGTGTGTGTGTGTGCGTGGTGTATCTGTGTGTGTGTGTGTCTGTGTGCACGTGTGTCTATATGTGTGTGTGTCTATGTGTGTGTGTGTGTGTCTGTGTGTGTGCGTATCTGTGTGTGTGTGTCTAGGTGTGTGTGTGTCTATATGTGTGTGTGTGTGTCTATATGTGTGTGTGTGTGTGTGTGTGTGTGTGTCTATGTGTGTGTGTGTGTGTGTGTGTTTGCATAGTACTTCTGGACAGATAGAGATGTGGTGTGTTGATGGGAGGTGATGATTGGTTGGAGATGATACTGTTGGCGGGGTATGCACTCTCCAAGTGTACGCTGTAATTCATTGTTCGTCGTCATAAACAGACCTGGAGTTGTTTTTTCCTTTCCCCATTCTGACCTTTAAGGACATGCTAACACCGACGGCTCCATGTGTTTGTTATTATACTGAGTTCAAACGGTTTGGTTTTCTGATCTGCCGTTGGTCAATCGACAACTTTGTGAACTCCTCCAAGATGGCCGCTGTTGTGTTGAAAATGGGCCTTATGTATGAAACTTGCAATCAGGGTGTAAATGATGCGTACGCAAAAATATACACTTTTCCGCATTTATCAATCTGGACGTGAGCGAACGGCACAGAATTTACAGTCAATGGTGGTGTAAATGTGTACGCTCATCTCACCCTTCGTCACAACACGCCAAAGCACGCATGAAATTCAAGATATGGACAACAATAAACATGTTCCCTCTGGCAACGTGATAATCTGTGTTTTCATGGAGCATCGTGTTTCTGAATTTGAATTTGCGCATCAGAAAACGTCTAACACTCTGGAAACACCCAAACTTCGAATAAATCCCAGCTCATGATGAGGAGCCTCTTCTGTTTCTATGATTTTAAATCTGACTTC